GTTAAAAGTTTTGAAATAATAGTTGTCAAATTAGGGCTTAATATATTTTAAATCTTTTTTAAGTTAGACTCATTTGTATTCATTGAAAGGATTCAAACTCTATCTATGGCCATGTTTGAACCACATTCTTTGAAAAAAATATATTTTTAAACAGTAATTTTACATAATTTTAATCACACATTCCTTAGCAAAGTAATATTACGCGTAAATTCAAAATTTTTCCTTACTTTTTAATCATATTTTTCCTATCAATACATTATTCAAAAATACATTTTTATGAAAATAATGTGGCTCAAACAAGGGCTATAATTATTTCTTAATCTTTTTCCTTTCTTTTATTTTTATTAATTAAAGAGGATGATAAATTCTTCATTTTATAAAATTTTAAGGAGGGAAAAAATGACCAAGAGGTTATATTTCACAAAAGTTTAGCTGAATTAAGAAAATTTGCTCTGAAATGAAATGTTACAGGGTATTGCACAAAACGTTTTACATCAAATGCCCTTAAACTCATCACGTGTTCAATATTATTGAATATACTGTACCCAATATGTCAATACAAGTGTTACTTCGTACATGGTATAAAACGATTCTACAAGGACATAAAGAAAGACGTGGGTAAAATAAAAATGGCATCATTATCGAGCATACTAAAAATAAGCTTCGTCAAAATTGCTTCGCATAGACAAAGTTTTGATATCAAACATTCTCGTGATTATTTAAAAAAAAATATTGTTTAACCAAATTATAATTGATTTAATGAATCATTCGTCATATCAAATAACCAATATTTGAAATTTCTTCTTAGTTCAAAATAATGTTTATATTTGAATTAATTAATTTAATTTTTAAAAATAATTGATAGCCATAGGACAATTTTTTATGAATAATTACTATGGACTCTACTTATCAAGCCTCGTGCATCTCATTTTGTATAGCAACATTATCCATCGCTTTGAAATACTAAAGGCCTAATGCCAGTTGTATTTAATTATTCCTCTGAAATGGTTCTTGTCCTGTCATTCATTTGAGTGATGATTTACATACATAAATTTTACATAAATTTTTTTTACAGACACCTTGTAGATTACACACAACATGGAGTGGGTGTGTTATTTTTTGGATTATTTTACTCACATCTTCTGTCAAGGACATGCCAAATTTTAATTCCCATTCTTTTTTATTCTAAACTTAATAAAAATCAGTAAATAAAAATACATTTTTCTCAATTTAGTCTCTGTTTGATTGAATTAAAAGATTAAATTAAATTTAAAAATCAAAATCAACAATTAATTTCAATAACACGTCTCATGAATTTCATTTCAACTAATATTCATCAATTTTTTAAATCAAAATCCATTAAAAGCATAATTTTTATCTAAACAAAAAGGTCTTGTCAAGTTAAAATGCATTTTTATTTTTATTATTATTTTTTTTAATCCACGGTGTTGTTGGTGTGAGAGGGAAACTTCAATTTCTCCTGCATAATTTGCAAGTTTTGCCCCAAGTATAATCCGGAACAATGTTTCCCTCGTTGCTGCTCTGCTGCAAAAGATGCTAAGGAAATCGGATCTCATGATTGACTCCGATAGTTAGCGAGTTCCATTCACTTCATTATCAGTTTGTTATGCTAGATTTGGTAGAACTGGGAAATAAATTTTCACCATTATGTACTGTGTCAGCTTTAAAAACTTACTAGTTACTTTGCTTATGAGTAGTCCGTTTTTATTAGACAACTTTTCGTTGGTCGAATTTTACTTTTTAAGTCACTATAAAATAACTAAAATAATTATCTTACCATCAAAATAAATAATATTATTTTACCTTTAACTAAGATAAAAAATATCATTTAGAAACATGTTTTTAAAATAATATCTTACTTTATGAGAATATATGCGTTTTTCGATTATCAAATATCATAAGTAGGAAGCACAGATAATTGCAAAAATTATTCTTCTTCTAGATTTCATTGTTGACATCAAGTTTGACATCTCCCTATGTGCAGAAAATTTGGACACTTATTAAAAAAAGTGTTGTTAAAAATCTATCAACTCACATGATGTCAGAATTGATGTACTGTAGTATGATTGTACTTGTAAAACTGGATTGAGTTAGGGAGTTGATAAACTCAATGATGGTGAGATAGAGACCAATTTTTCAAAACTCCTTATTTTTTTTATATACTCATTTTTAACCACACATTCTCACAATGAAATATTCTTTACAAAAATCCAAAACTTTTTGGTTCTTTTTGATCACACACTCTTTCAAAATTTTACTATTTTAAAACTCATTCTTTCCAAAATAAATAATAATAATAATTCTATCAAACATGGCTTAATATGATGTTACTAAAATTACATTTTTTTAATCTTATACGCCAACTAATGATGTTATATATACCAAGAAACTATTTCTTTATCAATATGCAAATTTAAAAAGTAAAAGAAATATCTGGGAGTTGGGATCTACCTAGAACTATATTTTCCTTCTTTTATCTCCACATGTTTTGGCAAAAAGTTGGATAATATTATGTGGAAGGAAGTTAGTAGAAACTAGAAAGTGGGGACCTTGAAGACCAAAGTGAAATGGAGTATTTGTTTGCTTTAGTTATAAAAAATTAAATAAAAATAAAAATAAAATTTAATAATTAATTTTAATTACACATTTTATGAAATTCGCAAATTTTATCAATTTTTAACCATATATTTCATCAACCTTTTTGAAATCTATTAAAAATCAAATTTTTAGTATAATCAAACATGGACAAAATATAGCCGCTACCCAATGTCATGTCATGTTCTCGCTAGTCAATATCATTTTCCCACAAGAAATTTCATGTTGCAGTCCTCTTCCATTATGATTAAATAATAATAAAAACAAATTAAATAAATACATGTTATAACCTCAAAAAAGAGTCTAATATTTTTCATTCGACGCATTAAGGCCATGTTTGAGCCTCATTTCTACCTCATTAAAATGAAAAATATAATCGTTGTCCATCACATCAAACCATCATTTTTGAATTTTTGTCTTTTGTGTGGGGTCCATAACCACTTTATTTTTCATTGTCATTCTACAAATAATGTGGCTTAAACGGGCTCTAAATCTTTATCATAGATCTATATAGAAACTTCTTACTTTACAACTTTATAACCCTCATTCCTATTATGTGTTATAGCCGCATTGGAATATGATCATTTACAGTTTTCTAAACATTTGAATTAACATTTAGTACGAAATTGTTGAAGATGACAATTAACAAATTTGTTACACAATTATCTTCTTTGAACTTATTCAGTATTCTTCATACTAAAGCATCATCAAAAGATTATTTATTTTCAAAGGGCATAGTTATAAGAGAAAGTATAATTAAATTTAAAGAATAATTTTTCTCATAAACTCCAACAAGTTCTTTATTTTAGCTCTTCATTTTACATTTTTATTTCAAAAAATCACTTATTATTTTTATCTTATATATACATATATATATTTTTTGAAATGTTAAAACAGACAGTTTAGAGTATTTGAGTAACTCTTTATTTATATTAAAAATCATCTTTAAATTTAGAGGGTAAGTTTAGCGCACTAAAAAAAATACTCGGTAGCAATTCAAAATGTTGGCCTATTCAAGTTTTACTTTTTCAAGAATTATTTATTGTTTTGTATTGATCGAACATAATTTGAATAATTTAAGGAGTTAGTATTGAGGCATTGACTCTCTAAATAAAGAGCATATTGTATTTAAAAAGTCTTGAAAATTATCAAATATGAGCTTAATTTCGAAGATTGACAATTTAAAATGGAGAACATCTTATTTTTTAAGAATCTCTTGACATAATGCTCTAATGCACCAAATAGTCTTTATTTGTCACAAGTGTTAGAGTGTACATATCTTTGAGGGATTATAAGTAGAATTATCTTTGACAAGCTATTCCTCTTATAGATATCAATTAAATGTGAGTTTGTACATGTGTGTTCGATGGTAAAAAATTGCCTTCTTCCGAACCACCCCGACCCCGCTCCCATGCTAATTAGCCTTACAACTTCTTGTATTTTTGACTCAGATAAGCACGAGAAAATAATTATAACTATAATCAATTTTACTCATAGGAAAGGATAATCAAACCATAGTATGACATTTCTTAAAAACATGTATATTATCCTGAAAGAAAATATTGCATGAGAAAAGTTATAACGGGAAAAAAATATTTTATATTTTCAGAAATATCAAAGTAATTTAGGTCATAATTCTCAATTTTTTATGTGAAAATAGATTATAACTCATTTATATAACATAACAATGTGACTTTAATGTGTGGTTATTAAAGAGTAATCGAGATTCATCTCTCTCATCGTATTCATTTCATGAAAAATAGCAAGGCAGTTATTGTCTCCACCATTTTTAGATTTTTGTAAATAAGGAAAAGCATAAACCGTGGCTCTAATTTCCTCCACGTGTTCTCTAGTCACAACCACCATCCTACGTATCAAAATAGGAAACCGTTCGACTTCCATAGAAAAGTCAACAATTTGCTTGTCATAGTAGGGAGCCATTTGAAATTAGTAGAGGTATGTTTGCGTCGTTTATTGACTTGTGACTACATGTCCATCAAAAGATATGAAGACAATCTGTGCGATTGTGCTTATATTAGGTGTTGTTCGTTGTTGAATGTTTGAAATTCATAATAGAAGTTATATTTCACCATCTATTTCTATGCACGTACGAAATTTATGCTTGTGTGGTTGTGACGTTGTGTGTCTCGATTATTAATATTTTACCATTGATCTTATGCAATGGAATTATTGTATCGTTTGTCCTTTGAAAAACTGTATCAATTGTGACCTAGGCAAAAAATGAGAGTTAGAATGTAACACCATGACATAGCGTGTACTAGCAATAGGTGATGTGACCGTGTTAGTAATATGCTTCTAGTGTGACATGTAAAGCGAGTGGTTATTTGTGACTCTATTTATGTGTCTTAGAAAAGTTTATTCATTATTCCTTTGAAATTATGTTGGAAGCGAGGGACTCAAGTGAGTCCCCTGCGGTGTCTCCATTACAGCATTGTCAAGGCTCGGTTTGTTCGCGTTAAAATATTCTCCTCTAACTTTCATCATATCGACTTCAGCTCGAGTTACAATGGCTTTAGTCAATGAATCCTCATCAGTCCCAAGCCCAACAATTGAAGCTCTTACA